ACGCTGTGGCGGGATACAGCGATCCCCCTATGTGGCAGAACACTAAAACAATCCTTTTGTGGCGGATTCCTTGTGGTGGGTTACTGGATGATTGCTTACGTGGCACAATACGAAAGGATTCCTCATGTGGGTGTTTACCAAAGCATCTCCTCTGTGCCGGAATCCAGCGGGAATCCTTACGTGGCGGAATACAATAAGGTTCCCTGTTATGGTGGAGTACAAAAGGATTCCATGTGTGGCAGAACGCAACTTAATTCCTCTTATGGTGCAGTACAACTGGGATCTTTCTGTGGTGGATTACACAGAGATCTGTTTTGTGGCGGAATATAAACAAGAATCCTCTTGTGGCCGAATATATAGAAAGGGTTCGCCGAGTTGCGGAATGCAATCAGATTCCCTCTGTGGCCGAACACTGAAGGCTTCTCAAAGGGATTCCTTGTGTGGTAGATTAGGAGAGGAATCCATCTGTGTCGAATTACCAAGGGATCCCTTACGTGGCGGAAAGCAAAAGGAAAAGGAATCCAACTCTGGATGGATGGGGGGACGCGAGGTGTTGCTTGAGTCCTGGGCGCATTGCGGCGCGCATGTTCTTGTTTTGTTCGTCTTCAACCTCCCCCTCCACCTCGTCCTCCTCCTCCTTCCCCTCCTTCTCCTCCTCCTCCTCCGCCTTGCCTCCAGCCTCCTGTACCATCCCTCCTCTATACTTGTTCCTCCCCTCCTCCTCCTCTGCCTTCTCGCTCTCCCCTCCTCGTTTCTCGTCCTCCTTCCTCCTCTTCTCTCCTCCTCCTGTCCGCTTTCCTCCACGATCTCATCCTTTGAATGCGTAACTCTACCAATTTTCGCTGGGGAGAGGCGCAGGACGAGGGTCACGAGAGGGGGCAGGAGGAGGAAGAGAACCAGGAAGAGGGAGCAGGAGGAGGATCAGCAGGAAGAGAATGGTGATGAGGATGCTCCCCCACCCCACCCCGCAGACCGTCGTTTGGGGGTGCTGGTGGTGGTGGGGGGCGACCATATATGTATATATATATATGTTTACATACATACATATACATATATGTATATAGAATGAACTACAGATATAATATAACCATCGCGCGCTTCGCTCGCGCTCAAGTTCTAGCTAGGCTCGACAGGCTAACGCATGGAATATCAATTGTTGAAGTGCCTTGTGCACCGAACGCCCTGTAGGAGTCCCTGCGCCAGTCTCGGAAAACTATAGAAGGTAAAGTGCGGAAACCACACAATTCTGAATTTCCTCGGGGTGTTCGATGCTTTGGGGCCATTGCAGACTTCTTGGGATCTTTCTTCGGTGGTGATGGGGGCCTAAATCATGGTCTGGTGTGCAACAAGAAGCAGGGGGTAGAAAATTCGAATTCTTTTTTTTTCAAACTGACATGCCTGAGCCGTGGGTCAGAAGTTTCCCGGATACAGGCCCGGCTCTGCTGAGATTGCCCTTGGGGCCTTTTTGGCGGCGTCTTGGAAATCTTTCGGGGCCTCTTGGGGCGCCCTTGGTGCCTCCTGGGAGCCTCCCGGGAGTCTCCGCAGGCATCTTGGGGGCGCCTCGAAAACCTCTGGGAGAACCTTGGGGCCACCTCGGGGCAAAGCGCTCGTCAGGCTTTGGGAAGTCCCCTCTTTTGTCCCTTTCTTGGCGCGCGCGCGCGCTGACGCTAGCTGCGCTGGACAGGTGAACTCCTGGATACAGGCCAGGGGTTGTTGGGAGGCAGTTTGGAGGCCGCTGGGGGGCTGGTTTGAAGCCTCTTGGGGCCACTTTTGGGCCTCTTCGGGGCTCCCTTTTGCCTCTTCAAGCTCTTCGGGGGACTCTCGGGGCCTCCTGGGGGCCTCTTGGAGCGGACAGCCTGGATTGTTGATTCGCGTTCCCCTGTTGGGCGGCTTTTCGGGCCATCTTGGGGCTCTCATGGGTCTTGGGCTGCGTCAGGGCGCTCTTGGGCCGTCTTTGGGCCTTCTTGGTCCGTCTTGAAACCGTCTTGGGGGCTCTTGGGCGATCTTGGGGCGGTCTTGGGGGCCTCTCTCGGCCATCTTGTAGCGTTGGAAGCTCGAAAACGCGAGAAGGCTAACAAAAACCCACCCAAAAAAACGAATTAATTACAATAATGACAATCCACGTTCTGGGCCTCTTCGGGCGCTTCCGGGACGCCTCTCGGAGCTCTCTTGGTGGGGCCTCTTTGGATGCCTCCTGGGAGTCTGGAGAGCCGCCAGCAGTCTGTCTTGGGCTGCTTGGGAGCGTCTTGGGCCGTCCTTTCGCGTTCTGGGGGCTCTGGCCATCGCTCGGACGTCCTTTCCCAGTGCGTGTTTGGGTTTCGTCCGTGTTTGTTTTTTCGCCAAATGATCAAGAATGCTCCTCGATGGTCCTCGCCGAAAAAAAATATGCACACGTCCGAGCGATGCCAAGGGCTCCCTGGGAGCGTCTTGGGCCGTCCTGGGGCGTCTGGGGGGCCTCCCTGGGAGGCGCCCGGGGGAGGCGCAGTGCCGGGAATTGCCCCTAGATGTCACGGAGGTGGGAGACGCTCCCAGGGGGGGAGGGCGTTTTGTGTGTGTGTGTGTGTGTACGTACGTACGTACGTACGTACGTACGTACGTACGTACGTATGTATGTATGTATGTATGTATGTGTGTATGTATGTATGTATGTATGTATGTATGTATGCATGCATGGATGTAGGTAGGTAGGTAGGTAGGTAGATAGGTAGGTAGGTGGGTGGGTAGGTATACATGCATGCATGCATGCATGCATGCATGCATGCATGTATGTATGTATGTATGTATGTATGCATATGTGTGTCTGTATGTATGTATGTATGTGTGTGTGTGTGTATGTATGTATGTATGTATGTATGTATGTATGTATGTATGTATGTATGTATGTATGTATGTATGTTTGTTGGTATGCATGTAGTTACATGTGTATATATATATGTATATATATATATATATATATGTCATTTAATTACTCTCCCTCTCTCCCTCTCTCTCTCTCTCCCTCCCTCTCTCTCTACCCTCTCAGATATACGGCACATGTTCTCTACATGTGTCTCTATCTCTCTCTCCGTTCTTCTTGTTTGTTGTCTCTCCTTCTCTTTTTCTATCTCCCTCTCTCTCTCTCTCTGCTAACGTCTGACTGTCTGATATGCGTTCTCTACTCTCTACGATATGTTCTTAATCTGACCGTGCACGCACGGACCAAGCCGCTTGGTTGGCCGCCACCAAGAGATCGATGACCTGGGAGCCCTACAGCGCGGTGAACTCAGGACCAGGGAATTAATACCCCCGAACACGGACGCCCACCGAGGTATCGGCCCTGAAACCATAACCGGGAACCTGGAAACTGGAACCAGCAAGCTGGCCGCCTACCGAACTCGGCCCAGAACCTAAAAGGACTCTTTCGGCTTCCGCTGGGAACCCTATACTCAGGGCAAGCACCTATTCTAGGACTGGAGCGATGACATGGTGGGAGTGGCTCAGGGTACGCTTCACGATTTCCAACGAACCAGCGGCCCTCGTGTCTACAGCTCCTGTGGAACAGCAGATAAATCGAAGACATCTGGAGAGAACTTGGGGAACGTGTCATTGTCGTGACCTCTTGCTCCTCTGATCAATGCCCCGCAAACCCGGACACGCTAGACCTGGACACCCAACATCCCTCGAAACCAATTTTTCCAGACGGCGCCACGAACAAAATACCGCACTGCAACATTTGCAGAATAGGCCCAGACGCAGGCCGAAAAAGCCTGCAAGATCACCCTATAGACCTGGACAAAAACCCGAATCCTGCAGTGCAGCAAACAAAATATGCACGGGTGCTGGAAATATGTATTGGGCGCCCGAGTTATCTGGGGTAACTCGGGTCCGGGGTAACTCGGGTTTGGATTCCCGAAAAAGGAACCCGAGTTAGCCCTGACCCGAGTTACCCCTGATGATGTGGGGCTCTGGACGCCCGAGTTGTCCGGGGTAACTCGGGTCCGGGGTAACTCGGGTTCGGAATCCCGAACAACGACCCCGAGTTATCCCTGACCCGCGTTACCCCCGACGATTCGGGGCCCTGACATGTGACTTTGCAGGGAAGGGTGTCGTTCCCTTGGTTGTCCGTGTCCCGGTGTACGGCAGGTTCGCGTCGTGTCGACCCCAGCGTTGGTTCCTGACACCGCGGGGATCGTTCAACCTTGAACGATCGGCCGTTCCCGCAACGTCCAATCGTTCAACATCGACCGCTTCTGGGTCGCCGGCGGCATTCAACGTCAAACGCCGCGGGCGGGGGTCGCCGCGGGTCGACACGACGCGAACCTACCGTATGTCTGTGCCCTGGCCTCCGGGGGCCTGCCCTGATGGTCCGCTACCGAAAATTTCCGGTAGCGCTCCGCAGAGATCGGTCGCTACCGAAATACCGAAATGTAGCGCCCAATACCGGTATCAGAGCGCTCTGAAATCCGCTATTTCAACGCCCTCAAGCGAAGATCCGGTCGCTACCGAAATTCGGGGTGCGTCGAAATCGCTACCGAAAATTTCCCGTACCAGACCATCTGGGTGCCCCGAGATCCGGGGACGTGGGCCCGCCCCGCCAGAGAACGGCCCTATGCCCTCTGCTCGTGCAGAGCTCTGGTGCTCACGCCGCCCACGAGCGAGAGGGCGTCGCCCGAGGCCCGACGCGCGCACCCGCCCGCGTACGGACCTCCCAAAGCTCGCGTTCTGCTGCAGCTCTGTGGCTCCCCACTCCTCCTCCTCCTCCTCCTCCTCCTCCTCCTCCTCCTCCTCCTCCTCCTCCTCCTCCTCCTCGGGGGGGGGGGCCTCCCTTCGGGTCGGGCGACAGGGGGGGATGGCAGAGGGGGGGTTTGAGCATCAGCTCACGCAGCTGATTTTCCCGGCGCCTCCCGGCGCCGGAGGCGGCCATGTGTCGAGGAATGGGCCCCTCGGTGAGGCCGAAACCAGCTGCAGCAGATTTCGTACCCCCCCCCTTCCCAATCCCCCCCTTTCGCCCGGCCCGACACTCCTGGCTGCGTCGCCTCGATCGAGCGCCCGCCGATCGGGCGCCGCGGGGGGTCCCCGGCGGAGGCGGGGCTCAGACGGCCGTGCTCGGCACGGTGTCCACGGTCTCCATCCGGCACTTTGCGGTGCACATGTTGTCGTCACCTTCGAAGCTGATCTTGAGCATGGCAAAGGTCCGCTGCTTCACGTACGGCGTCGGGTTGTGCTCGGCGGTTTCTCTTTTCGGCTGGCTTCCCAGAGGCTCTGCCGAGGGAGGACGAGGAAGAGGAGGGGGCGGAGGGGGACTGGCAAAAGGCTATGCTGGGTGTGTGTGGGGGCCCTGCCAGGAGTGCGCCAGGAGAGTGGAAGGCAAGTGAGGGGGTGGTGGGCGACTTGGACTACGAGGCAAGTCCTGGGAGGAGAGTGGAAGGCAAGTGAGGGGGTGGTGGGCGACGTGGACTACGAGGCAACTCCTGGGAGGTCTTCGTGTGAATGATAGAGGGCTACTGAGCCAGAATCAGCGGGCAGCTGGCAGGATTAGGCCGAGGTGAGCGCAATGCTAAGCGGGCCCACGCAGAATCCGCAAGGTTTGGCCAGACCAGAACGGCTCTCGACCCAAGATGTGGCCACCCCGATGGTGGTGAGCGTGGCCTCTCGGGAGCTGGACCCGAGAGAAGAGGACTGGAAGACCTCGGTACTCCCATCCGTCTTCCTGCTGCGCCCAACATGGGACGCACAGAGACAGGCCAGTACTATATGTCCCCCTTGGAGGCGCGCACGACCCGAACATGTGGTATACCCGTCTTGCAGTGTGTGAATTCCCGAGCGGTGTGGCCAGCAAGCGCCCGCCACGACGCGCATGTACTCTGTGTCCCTCAATAGTTTTGGGGCCCCGGACTACAGGTACCCCCCGGACTACAAGTGCCCCTCCCCCGGACTACAGGTACCCCCCCCCCGGACTACAGGTACCCCCCCCCCGGACAACAGGTACCCCCCCCCGGACTACAAGTACCCCCCCCCGGACTACAGGTACCCCACCCCGGACTAGAAGGTACCCCCCTAGCCCCCGGAACTACAAGCCCCCCCGCGTTCGCTACGTAGTTTCTGGAAGCCAAAGCGGCCCGCCAAGATACCACTCTAAGAGTTCTCGGGGCGCGCGTCGCCTCTGGGGGGGCGACGCACACATAGCATCAGTATGCTGGGGTGACGCCGACTGCACCCCCAACCCACAGCACGGTGGTGCCCCACAGCGCCCAGAACTGCCCAATTAGGGCGGCCCAGAGACCTCCCGAGGGTGGCCTCGAGGGCCCCTCGACGGCACGGGAGCGCCCTCCGTCGGCCAGAGGCGGGGGGGATGGCGGTGATCTACTGCACAGTCATCGGCCTGACCTAAGGAACGATAAATAAGGAACGAAGCCCCTGTATTATCCCAAGGAATAACGCATGAGGAACGATGAATAACAAATAACGCATAAGGAAGTGTAAATAGCGCATGCAAACCTAAGGAAAGACCGAGCCCCTTTTGAAAAGTAAGCGTTCCTTATTCAAGCCGCTCACTGTAGGCGTTTTCGGTAAACGTGCACAACGCGAAAACTACAACTTGCCACGGCAAAAAAAACGGTTCTGCGGAGAACGGGTCCTGGATCCGGGGGCTTTCCCCCTTCACCAGATGTTTCATCCTGGACTATTCCTTGACGGTTCCAAAGCCTGGAGAAGGCTGGGGGGGCCCAAGAGATGCCAATACCGCTACTCCACTGACCACTCCCGGGATACATTCGGACTCGTATTTCGAAACGAATCCAGCTGTGGCGACGACAGGCAGCGGCATCGGTATCAAACTCCTCCTCTGAAGACCCCTAAAATAACCCAAAACCTCTTGGCCCGCTTCCCTATGGGCCTCCTTTCCTCTTCAAGTCTCCACCATCCGTGTTCGTGTCCGCAGCCCGAGACCGCGAACTGCCTCTGGGAGACCCGTCCACCCCAGGGGCAAGCCTAAGGAGCAACGACAGGGGAGGACTAGCTCAGCGGAGGAAACATGCATTGATCTCCAATCGGCGAGACGTCACCGATAGATCGGCGATAAGAACCCAGCAGCAGAACCGCACGTCGCTGGGAGGGGCGGGCTGTCGGGCCCTATCGGCCATCAGTGTGCGATTGGGCGTCGATGCATCCACCCCTGAGCCCATCGGTGGCTCATCAGCCTCTAACGTTGTGCCCCTGATCTTCCTCCATCGCGGGGACGAGCGTAGAGGAATCATCCACGTTTGGAGCTCCGCGCGCATTGCTTGGATCGACGCTGGCTGGAACCCCCTCCCTGGAAGGGCACAGCGTGCCAAGGGTGGCGCCGGAGTCGCCGCCACGGGGGGCCCGAACGCTATTCCAGGGCATGCACGCGGAACTCCGGCAGTCTACAACAACGCGGCTTCTCTTACCAGTCTTCGAGAGCGGGCGCTCAATCTGCGCAGTCCCCTTTCCCTCCTCCTCCCTTCCCGCACCTCCTGCGCATCATCCTCCATCCTCCTGATGCCCATTGCTGTCGCTCAAGTGCTCCCCCTCTCTCGCGGACCTGCTCCCCATCGACGGAAATTCCAGGAGAGTCTTCGCAAAAACGATCGAGTGCTACTAAGCCCGATTAAACTGCCATGAGCTGGATCAGCCCAGATTGAGTCCAGGACCAAGCCCGGCCCAAATTTCATGCCCGACTCGGGGCAAGAATCCGCCGCCGTGTCCCTGTGGCACGAAGTGGCATGTCCCCCAGGTCCCTTTGTTCAGTCCCTGAGCATCAGTTCTCAATCCTGGGGATTCTTATGTATAGGGAGCCCACAAAGGACCACGTGAGTAGGGGAGGAGGAGGAGGAGGAGGAGGAGGAGGAGGAGGAGGAGGAGGAGGAGATCCTGGGGATTCTTATGTAGGGGCCCAAACCCCAACTTCTCATTATCTTTTGGGGCGTCCCACGTGCCCTCCGGGGCGCGTCGAGTGTTCCCGCGTCGACTGCTCTGGGAGCCCAGGACGGCCCCAGGACGGGCCAAAAGGGCCCCGAAGAGGCCGCCCTGACGGTCCACGGGCGCCTCCGAATCGCGACACGATCGGTTCAAGACGCTCAAGGTGGAGCCAAGGCAGCCCCAGAAACCTTCGAGACGCCCCACGAGAGCCCCAGGAGCCTTCCCAAGAGGGTCACGAGGGGCCGAAAAATCACTGATTTGCCTTACGCGTGTTTGGAAGTTGTTGGGGGTTGTTCGAAGACTCGAGCTTCTGACGCTAAAATCGGCCCTCAAGACGGCCCCAGCATGGCTCCAAGACGGCTCCAAGACGGCTCCAAGACGGTCCAAGAGGCGCCCAAGAAGGCCGCAAGACGGCCCCCAAAGGGGCCTAAGAGTGGAAGTCCGATTCGTCCCAAGATGCCTCCTGGAGGCCCCAAGAAGCCCTCAAGAGGCCCCCAAGACGCCCCAAGAGGTCCCAAAACGGCCCCCAAGAAACTTCAAAACTGCCTCCACGAGGCCCACAAGAGGCCTCCCGCGTCATCCAAACGAATATCCTCAAAGGCCTATGATCCACAACCCAAGCACGGTGGCAAACTGGGCGGAAAACCATTAGACCCGCTTGGCACGGGGACGGAAACCGCAACATACATCCTGTGATGGCGCGAGATCGCTGGCTTGTCCGTTCTTCCTCCTGTTAAGTCCTCTCTTCCCCTCGCCCGTGTCGCACCTTGGAAAGTCTTGGGGCAGTCTGCCCATCTTGGGAGACGCTCGGGCTGTCTCCGGGCCCTCTTGAGCTGCCCTACAAGAGAGAGTGCAAGACAAAAGAACACATGTTTTAAAACATGCGAAATGGGAGATTGATCATTTGTTTCATGATGTCCACAGCCACCTGGCCTTTTTAACCCGCCTGGCCTTTCCAACCCGCCTGGGCCTTGGAACCCGCCTGGCCGATTTGACCCGAATGTCTACTTCAAGCCGCATGGCCATGACGATCGCGTGACTGTTTTCATCGGCATGGCAATTTGTATCCGCCTGGCCGCGCTGATATCCTTGGCCTTTTTTATCCCGCCTGGTCGATTTACCCCGACTGGCCGTCTTAAGCCACCCGGACATTTTGACTCGGCTGGCCGTTTAAAATCGCTTGTTTGCTTGAACTCGCCCGGCCGATTGAACTCGCCTGGCCGTTTGAACCCGCCTGGCCACTATAACCTGCGTGACCGTTTTAACACGCCTGGCTGAATTAACCCGCCTGGCGGCAACCTTGTCTTTCCAATCAGCCTGGTCGCTTGAACCCGCTTGTGCACGTTAATTCGCCCGGCAAGTCCGCCGATCCGGCGTGTGAATTTAAGAAGTCTAAGCTGAAGCTCTGCTTCAGCATGAGCTCTAGCTCTGCTTGGGAGGGGGGGAGGGGGGGGTACGTGATTAACTAGCGAATTCAGTGCTCGGCCCCCCCCCCCTGCCAGCCAGCCCCCAGGAGAGAGGGGGGGCGGGGGGGGACAGGAGAGAGGAGGGGGGGAGAGGGGGGAGGATGGAAAGGAGAGAGGGGGGGGGGAACGTTTAACCATCCTGGCCGTGGAAACTGGCCTGGCCGTGTTCACCCGCATGGCCGTTTGAACCCGCCTGTTCATTTAACCCGCCTGGCCGTTTTGACCCGCCTGGTCGTTTTAACCCGCCTGGCCGTGTTAACCCCCCTGGGCAGCCCGTAGTAGGATTCCAAGACGAGATCGGCAACATCCCATTTGTGTGCGGATGTCCACAGCGAAATCGCCATGTTGGGCAAGAGCGATATCAAGAAGAGATCGATGACAGCTCACTGTTTGACTACAGCATTAGCAAAATCGACATGTTGGCCAAGAGCGAGACCAAGACGATGTCGACTACAAATTGTTGTTGTGAGGATGTCCCTTCATACATCACCATGTTCGACACTATCTCATGTGTGTGATGATGTCCCTCGCGAAATCGCCACATTGGCCAAGTCCGAAACCAAGACTACGTCGACGTCATATGATTTGTGTAGGGATGTTCCTAGCGAATTCGCAATTCTGGGCAAGGCCGATGTCGACATCATCTCATTTGCGTGAGGATGTCCCAATCGTCATCTGGTGCGCGGCAATACGGCGTCTTCGAGCCGTCTTATTGAACTATGCTGGGACGTCTTGGGGCCTTCTGAGAGCGATCCCAAGAGACGACAATTGGTTGAGGATGTTCTGGGCGAAACCCCCATTTGGCCATTAACCTGGG